AGTACTTCATTGTGTAAATGTACCACAAGTTCCTTATCCATTCTTTGGTCGAGGGGCATTTAGGTTGTTTCCAGGTTCTGGCTATGACAAACAATTCTGCTATGAACATAGCTGAGCACATATCCTTGTGGTATTATTGAGCATCCTTTGGATATATACCCAAAAGTGGAATTACTGGGTCTTGAGGAAGGTTGTTTCCTAATTTTCTGTGAAATCTCCATACTGATATCCAAAGGGGCTGTACCAGCTTGCATCCCACCAACAATGGAGGAGTATTCCCTTTACCCCACAACCTCTCCAGCATAAGTTGTCATCCGTGTTTTTGATCTTCGCCATTCTTACAGGTGTAAGATGGAATCTCAGAGTTGTTTTGATTGCATTTCTCTGATAACTAAGGATGTTGAGCACTTCCTTCAGTGTCTTTCAACCATTTTATGTTTAGAGTTCTCTGTTTAGGTCTGCACTCCATTTTTTAATTGGATTATTTGTTCTTTTGATAACCAATTTCTTGAGTTCTTTGTATATTTTGGAGATCAAACCTCTGTCTGATATGGAGTTGGTGAAGATCTTTTCCTATTCTGTAGGCTGTTGTTTTTTCTTGTTGACCATGGCATTTACTTTACAGAAGCTTTTCAGTTTCACGAGGTTCCATTTATTATTTGATTCTCCCAGTGTATGTGCTACTGGGGTTATATTTAGGATGTGGTCTCCTGTGCCAATGTGTTCAAATGTACTTCCCACCTTCTATTCTATGAGGTTCAGTGGAACTGGATTTATGTAGAGGTCTTTGATCCATTTAGACTTGAGTTTTGTGCATGGTGGTAAATATGGATCTATTTTCATTCTGCTACATGTTGATATCCAGTTATGCCAGCACCATTTGTTAAATAGGCTTTCTCTTTTCCATTTTAATTTTTTTTCTCCTTTGTCAAAAATCAGGTGTTCATAGGTTTGTGGATTACTATATAGGTATTTGATTAGGTTCTATTGGTCATCTTGTTTGCTTTTATGCCAATACCAGCCTGTTTTCTACTACTGTAGCTCTGTAGTAGATTTTGAAGTCAGGGATTGTGGTGCCTCCAGAAGTTCTTTTATTGAACCGGATTGTTTTGACTATACTGGGTTTTTTACTTTTCCATATGAAGTTGAGTACCATTCTTTTGAGGTCTGTGAAAAAAAATTGCTGGAATTTTGATGGGCATAGCATTAAATCTGTTAATTGCTTCTGTCAAGATTGCCATTTTTGCTATATTAATTCTACCTACCCAAGAGCATGGGAGATCTTTCTACTTTCTAGTGTCTTCTTCAATTTCTTCAAAGATTTGAAGTTCTTGTCATATTGGTCTTCCAATTGTTTGGTTAGAGTTACTCCAAGGTATTTTATGCTATTTGTGGCTATTATGAAAGGTGATGTTCCTCTGATGTCTTTCTCAGTCCTTTTATTATCTGTGTAAAGGAGGGCTACTAAGTTTTTTTTTTTTTGAGTTAATGTTGTATCATGTTACATTACAGAAAATGTTTATGAGTTGTAGAAGTGGTATAACAACAGAGGTTATACCATGTACTAGATCACAGCTCCCCCTACTGACCAAAAGCATCCTATGCATGGCAGGCCACATCCCTCAACATGTCTAAGAAGGGAGGGCTTACTTTGCAGATCTATAGTTAAGAATACACATCTCGACATACAAACAACTATACAGTACCCATCTGAATCTTCATTCCCGTCCCACTCCTATAGCCTCAACAAGATCTAAGGAAATAATGTGTTCAAAGGTATCCTTGCATTGCTCATAGGAAAAGTTCAATTTTCTATGCACACATTTTCTATGCTATATTACTGTATTTTAATTTCACCAAAGCATGATGTTTCCTGAAATAACTAATGCCCATGAGAAGCTCCAATACAATTGTGCTTTTCAGTCACTTCTTTCAAATTCTTCATTTCTTGAGCTATTACACTGTGAATTAGCTATATTCTCTATGCCAAGCACTGTGCCAAATGCTAGAGACACCGGAATAAATGAACCAAGGCCCCTGACTTCATAGAGGTAATAATCTAGTGGGGGAGAGAGGGCATACTCACCTGAACTCATACTTCTCTGGAATATCTGGCATACAAAACATGTCTCACGATTCTCAATGAACCATAATCATTTCCTCCATGATGTTTATATATGTGAACCTACTACCTTACCGTTGCTTAGATACAGTGTTTGTTCTACTCCTTCATAAGTCCAGGCCCCTCTCTTTGTAATTTCCATTGGTGTTTTCAAGTGAGTCCAAAAAAAAAAAAAAAAAAAAAGAGAGAAAGACACTGTGAAAATAAGTTAGTGTTATATGGGAAATGACATTCAGTGGTGCTTATGAACTGTAAGTTGGAGCCAGATATGCCTACATGAAAGACTTCCTGCTATTTTTAAGATCATCCAGTCACCCAAATATGAGGCATCATTTTCATGACATTTCTCATGCCGTCATTTACAGAGAATGATGGAGAGATACCAAACAATGTACAATTTACAGAATCCCCAGAGGCTTGGAAAGAGCACCAAAGATCATCAGAACAAAACAACTCTGTATTGACTCTGGTGTGGGCTTGCATTTGAGGTGACCTTCTGCTACACTCCAGTGGTTAAGCTATTCAGATGAGACTTTTGATGCCAACAGCTCACCTCCCCATACCAGACTGAAAAGCTTTTATTTACTAACTCAGAAACTGTCCATAAAACACTGTTTGGTTGCCATTTCTTTTGAGAGTATTGGTTATTGAAGCAAAACAACTTAGCAGGAACATGGTGTGAAAAGGTGTGTGTGTGTGTGTGTGTGTGTGTGTGTGTGTGTGTGTGTGTGTGATCTCATGTCCCCTGCCACCCCGATTCACAGTAATACTGCAGTGGGAAATTGATGTCCCTACCAGTCACTCTCTAATAAGGGGTATGCTGAGATTTCATGTTATGGAGTATGCTGTAGTGGCAAGCAGCAGAGATCCAAGTTTAGCTTATGCTATTGTTTTGTTTATTTTCTTAAATTAAAAATGTTTATAAATTTATTTCATGTCTAAGGGTGTTTCACACAGAGACAATGGCAAGGAATTACTTACTAAAGAGGGGAGTTTTCACAGTAAAACAAACAGGAGTGAAATCTTTGAGCTTGACTTTCAGGTTATCATGTGATTCAGTGGTTCATTTACAGGCCCATGTCATGGCTGTAGGTAAGCAGGTGTACAACTATGCATGGCCCAGGCACTGGAACTGGACTAGGGACAGTGAGGGAATGAACAACAAACAAACATAGTTGACAATATTATATTTGAAAAAGGCATTTAATACATCTAACCTATTGAACATTATAGCTTAGCAGAGCAGTACCTCAATGGATATTTCTTCTCGTAGTCCTGTGACTCACTGGGACTTGAATGTCACTACTACTGCCCAAGAGACAGCATCATGCTACTGCATGTGGCTAACTCTAGAAGTGATGAAAATTCAAATCATGATTTATCCTGAATATATGTGATTTCATACCATTGTAAAATAAGTCAAGTTGTTAGAAATCAGACTAATCTCTATGTGTGATGTATATCTCAGGCAGATGGACAGAATGTTCTATGAATAACTTCAATGTAATCCCAACTAAAACCATCTTCTACAAATATTTATCACTTAAGATACTTTAATCAAAATGTTCTTTATTCTGTGAATAGCAAGATACTTTATAAAGTGTACACTTACATTTTATATTTCTTTTATTTGTCCCATTGGTATGTATTCATTGAACACAAGATTGGGTTATATAGTATATTTCATACAATCAGATAATGTACTTTAATCCCTCACATACTCATAGCCTCTTTTATCTTTCTTTCCTCCAAAACTGAGCTTTGTGTTCCCTTTCTATTTAAAGGTAATGTATACATATTATTACTGAAAATCTCATTAACATGAACTACACTATCATTCTATGCAACGAAAATGGACAGTGATGCAGCAATTATCCTGTGATATTGAAAAATTTCTTAAAACAATATTGTGTAGTTTTGAGTAAAATAATATTTTAGGAAGTGAGATAAAGCCTAATGCTAAATCTGGAATTCATTTTGCTTCATGATACTTGCTGTAAACTGAGGTCTAGGGAACAAATACAAAAAGTCCTGAACTTGTTATAGATGATCATTCCAATATCAAAAGACTATTTTGTTACGTGAAACCAAATGAGTCTGTTATAGGGTCTCAAGAATTTAAGTATAAAATGGGAATAAAAGCTCACTGATACAGATGAGATGCCACAGGGATCAAGGTGCTGTGTCCTACTGCTCTGCCCAGGGCATCTGGGATCCAACCAACCACGTGAGAAAGCTACAGAGGATTTCCAGATGGGCAATTTTTCTTTTTCATGGGTAGACATCAAGGAGGCCCTTGCCAGGTATGCTGGTTCCTGAACATCATGTTTCTCACTCTCCAGAGAAGAAGATCACCACCTCCTACATTATATCAGAGCTACTCTAAAGGGATAGGGGTCTTACCTATTCCTTTATTTAGTCAGTGTTGACCAAATTCATGGGGGAATTCTCTTTAATAAACTGTTCTTTGGTATTTGACTCAGTTCTTGACTATAGAAAACAAATGGTACTATCTCTGGAAAATATATCTGACTATCATTTGAAATGTGTGTGCAGTGTTGCATAAATTAAATTAAAAAGTTACTTTCTCACTCAAAGAAGTACTGAAGTCTTTTAAAAGTTTTAAAATATAAAAGTAACATATCATTAGCTTTATCCTCAACCCATTTTCTAGGATATTTTTAGATTATTTTAGAATAATATTTCAAAGACATATGCCAGAATTTGTTTGGCATTTTATAATTGTCTTTTTAAAATAGGCAAGCTTTAATGTTGATTTTAGCATATGGTATCACAATATTGTTGGCTCTTCCCTCTAGATTAAATGACAAACCATTGTTAGTCTCAAACTTAAACTAAATCTTGATTTTTCTTTCAGGTTATTAACACAGTGGCAGAAGTAATGGTTATAAATAAAACAAACTTTATCCAAATTATAAAGAGCTATTAAAGAGAATTCACAAAGTGAAAGTGAGCCAAGGTGATTGCATTATTCTCAAAAGAGCGTTTATTAAACCTTTAGTAAGTATAACTACTCATGACACTGTTTGTCTGAATATCTGGTGATAAGGACATGAGAAGCAAGGGTTTTTTTTTTTTTTTAGCTATTTGTTTTTGTAGCTACCTTTTCTTTATTGCCTCAAGCATGGTACTGGCCAAATGATTCACCCATCAGAATCTCCCAGAGCAGCGAACCTGGGAGTCCCTGCTAAACAGCATAGTGATGTTCAAATCTTTTCATCGGAGAGTGGCTTTCCCCATAAATATGAAACATATTGGATCAAAAAGTATGATGAAAATGAGAGCAACCTTCTTGATCCTATGCTAGTGTAACCAGAGCTCCGGATGAGATAAATGTTTAGAAACCTTGGGCAGACCAAGTATCCTGCACTGCTCTCCAAACTCTTGTACGATCTTTTTATACAGTTCAGCAGACTAAAATTCTATCTGCCACCACCCACATTTACTTAGCTCGAGGCTGCTGGAGCAAGTACCTGAACTCCCTGCCTACTCCTTTTCTGCTGCATCTGTCATTCCTCCTCTTTAGCATAGCTGGGTAGCTGACATCCAGAAAGCCCATTTACATTTACAAATGCAAATGTCATTTGTGGAAAGGAAAAGAACTTGGATATATACTATTCTCATTTTGATGCTCCTTGATTTACATACCATCAAATCCATCTCACACACAAACCATTGTAACTCAAACTTTAATGACCATTGCCTGCCCATGTCATAGAACTGTAGACTGTGCAGTGTTAATTCCTTTTTCATGAACCTTTTTTTTTTTCGACCAGGAGCTCTGGTTCTCCCACTGTCCAGCATTGATTGAGAACAGCAAGCCATATAAGGTCACCTAGGAAGAAGATCAGAATTCAGTCTTTAAAGTATGACATTTTATAATTGAATTCATACTGATTTTTTGCCTCATTGTAAAGTAAATCAGAAGAAAGTTGAAGCATCAGAAATTGGGCTTCTATCTGGGCAGTAATGTATTCACAAGAAAGGATGATAAACAGCAAGCCAAAGCTTTTGACATACTCTTTTATTTTTGTACTCTTCATTGCAATCAAGGCTATGCTTTCTGTCTTTAGCAAAGCTGATGAGCACATTGAATTAATCATTTGTTTAATTTTGGTGTGGGCTCCCTGTTCCAAATCTCTCATTGGCCTTTAATTAAAGGAGCTAATTATCTTTCAAATCCTAGAGGCAAAAAACAGGTTGATGGATTATTATCTTCAATCTTAAGACATCATTGGAAACGAATGCTGTAATTACGTTGGCCACTATTGACTCTATACATAAAGTGTTTATAAAATACAGTTATTATGAATATCTTCATCAACACTTAAATGTCATGATTTCATTTTCATATGCATGCCATTTTTTTTCTTCTTTCTTTTTTTTACTTTAAAGTTGGCCATGGTAAATGTCAAGATAATGGCGTTTTACTTTTTTTTCCCCCTTAGAGTTAGCATAATGACTTCAATTACCTAAGTACAGTGTAATGAGGTCTAAAGTCTAGAATTAAGAAGTTTGAACTTGGATGACATCCATGGTCAAAATGACTTTTATTTGGAAATCTTCAATAGTAGGTATGTCTTAAAATAAAGCCATTGAATTATTTATTGAAACAAAATTTATCCACTTGGATTGTCAAAAACTACCCACTTTGGAAATTAGGTAATAATAAAAGGTTTTATCACACCTTAAAACTTTATTATTTCATGCAAAAGAAAATTAATATTTTAAAAAGAATTGATTACATTAAGATGTAAATACTATAATAAAATATTTATAAAAATAACAATTATGTTATGAGGCTAGAAAAAGAATTTTGCTCTTTTATTTTTTTTTAATTTTTTTCCCCCTGATCTGAGTGCCTGCAGCTGCTCTGAGCACGAGAAGAATTTTGCTCTTGATAGTACATATGGCTGAGTTTCACTCCCAGCTTCCATGTTCAGTGACTCACAAGCACCTGTAATTCCAGCTGAAGGGGAACCTGGAGCCAACACTTTTAGCCTTCATGGGCACCTGCACTTACACACACACACACACACACACACACACACACACACACACACAAAACAGACTGACAAACACAATTAAAACTTTGCAAGTTTTTAAATACTGTTTTCTGACAGTGAATAACTCAAACTGCCTGAGTAAGCTGTAAAAAGTAAGCTGTAAAAAGTCTGGCATCTGTACAACACAGATTTTCACATACACCCTCATGGTTCCAGAGACTTTCTTGGATTTATCTAAAAATTGCAACACTATTTAAGTGATTTACAGATAGAAAATAAAATCCATGTTGTGGACATGTTAGAAAATAAAATTTATGTTGTGGGCATGTTGAGATGAGATAGTAAAACTATATCCTGAAATCTCAACAGATTATAGGATCCCATAATGAACTCAAATGACATTAAGTCCTATGACTCATGGTTTGTAAACTCACCATATGTCCCAGCCTGTTAGATATTTCCTGTATATAATGTGGAAAAAAATCAAACTGGCACTAGCCTGGAAACTTCATTTCTAATGGCGAGCTTACAGAGTGCTGGAAAGTACTATGCATACTAATAGGAGAGATGAACAATCAATAGTGTTACCCAGTTGTGAGCCCTGAAAGCTAGTGGTCTCTAAAGACATGCTTACTGGTGCAACATCGACATAAATGTGATGGGCATACTCAACAACTTTTGAATTGGATTTAAAACTCTCCTAATAAAATAGATTTTTATGCCTGGCACTAACTGGCCTCCAAAACAATGGCTCGCTAGCTCATAGGCCCCAAGCGAGAACCTAATACTATTATCCTGCCACCTGAATATAGTTATAAACTTCTCCCTACATTGTTATCTTCATAGTTACATATTAGGGCATCTCTCATCATTCAGGGAAGTTTCTTTGTCATGGCAGTTGATTGATAACAGAGACCCACAACAAGTCAATGTGTAAAGAATAAGAGACCGTAGAGTGCTCAGCTCCAGATGGGACATCTACATCACACCCTCTCTCCCTAATGGTTAAGGATCCAAGGAGCAGAAAGACTGTAGGAACCAGAGCGGGTAGACATCTGTAATGAAATAATTAGTGGCTATGACATCCCAGCTGCACATATGCACTCACAGCACATGGAGCTGCATCCACAATGCACAAGACTTAGACAATATCAGTCTGTCCCAAATCCCAGCACAATGCGCGGGGGGGGGGTGACAGTTTCACAAATCCCCATCCTAATCTTAGGAGCTTTTGGGGAAGGAACATCAGTTTCCTTCAAGAATGTGGTTCCGAAAAGGCTAGTAGATCTTCTGATTCATGCACATACAGCAGTGTCTTAGAGGGGATTAAACAACAACAATGAAAGGGGGAAGGAAAGCAGGGTGGATTTGCTTAAAGTGTGTTACATGTTTTAATATATAAATATATACAGGTATTAATATGTATTGAATTAATCATTTTTTAAAAGAAAAAAAAATGTATAATGTTGTGTTACTGTGAAACTCAAATTCTATATGGGATTTTTGGCACAAGATGTATTGATATTTCATTTATATTTTAATAAATAAGCTTGCCTGGGTATCAGAGAGTAAAACAGCCACACTGGTCAGCCATACAGACAATAGTGGTACATTCCTTTAATCCCATACATTCCTTTAATCCCACAAACCTCACTATTTCTCCATAGAGGCCTGATGGTAGTGGCGCATGCCTTCAATCCCAACGCTAAAGAGGAATATAAGACGGGGAGACAGATCTCAACTTAGTCTCATTCTGAGGATTCATGGAGGCAGGACAGCTGAGGCAGTGGTAAGAGCCAGTGACTGGCTGTTTTTCTTTTCTGATTTTCAGGATGAACCCCAACATCTGTCTCTGGGTTTTTATTATTCATGATACAAGATAATTCGGTAATTGGATAAAGAAATATTTCAAGTTTCTGATAGTTCACATGACAGAAGTACCCTAAATCAGATGAAGAATGAATACAATGTATTATTTGAATCTTCTAACAAAAGATAATGTTATGCTGGACAATATAGACTCAGATTTAATAAACACTAGGGTTAGGTTTTTGCAAGCATTTGATGGGTGCAGGGACAGAGTAGCTACATGACAGAACCAAAATCAAATAACATAATTGTTTTATGTATTTTACAATTATAGAAGTAATATACATTAATGAAAACACAAAATACTTCATACTGGGAGAGGTTTGATTAGAATCATGGAATCATATGTCACTTGATGCTTTCAACATACACTACAGAATAATTTAAATTTTAAAGGAAGAGAGGCTGAAAAGATGTCTCAGCCCTTGGATCATTTGTTGCTCTTTCAGAGGACCTAAGTTTAATCTCAAGCACCCACATGTTGACTCACAACAATCTAACTCCAGTTCCCATGTATGTGGTACCTTCTTCAAACTTCTACAGACACAAGGCATGCATATAGTGCACAACTACATATGCAGGTAAGACACATACATAAAATAAAAATTAATAACTCTTTCTTGAAAGGGATGAAAGAAGACCCACTGTTTAAACATGCCGGGGAGAAAATTGAGATCTTGGGGGTGGGGTGGGTTGGGGATAAGGGGGGATGGGGAGAGAA